GGTGGGTCACGATTGGCAATGGATTGATTGATTTGTTGGTTGTGATTGACAAGGGATTGCTTCGACTGATTCGATTGATTGATGATTCAACTGATCTGATTCATAAGACTGATTGATTGATAGACTGATTGATTGATTGATTGATTGATTGATTAATTGATTGATTGATTGATTGACTGATTGATTGATTGATTGATTGATTGATTGATTGATTTGGATGGATGCACATACACACAGAAACATACACATGGAAAAGGAATCAAGCATGGTACAATTCATATAGGAACAGACGAATGTACCAAGGGAATGTTACCCAGCAGGGGACAAGGCATGCCAGATACAAAGAAACTGGGGTGTCAGGTTTAGGGTTTAGGGTTTAGGGTTTAAGGTTTAAGGAAGGAACTGAAAGAGATGCGTACATGATATGCAGAGCGGACAAGGCGAGAGAGAATGTAAGGTGAATGAATACATAGATCTACTGGATAAATGTCAAAGAATAATAATAACAATTAAAAAATGAGGGAAATTCAAAATTGTTGAAATGCCCCTAAAACTTTGGATATTTCATTACATACCCCTAAAACACAAGGGTACACTGAAATGCCCCAAACTTCTGCATCTGCCCCTGTCCCGTTCATTGGCAGCTTCGCCATATGCCCTGGCCCTGGGCTGCAGGGGGGCCGTGCATTTCTCTTGCAATCTGCAGGGTCCAATGGCCTAAAATAGCGGGAGCAGATGGACAAGTTGCCCAGGGCCCCGTAGGGGTATATATGCAAAAGATGACAGCTCCAATTGGCGAGTGGGGTATTTTGCAAAGTTTTTGTACTTTTTTTTTTTATATCCATGTGATTAACCAAAGTATACTCACTACTGCCGTAGGGGCATTTCGCCATACCCATGCCTTTTAAGCGTATCTGATGAAATACCCGAACTTTCAGGGGCATTTCAACAAATTTCCCCCCAAAAAACCTTTTGCAGCCTTTTGGCTAAAAATAGATAAAGTGTAGTATCGGTTTAATATCTGATCCGTGCTCCATCGGGCCACACTGAAAAAAAAATAATAATAATAATAATAATTAAAAATCGAATTAAATCATTTAAATTCAATTAATATTATTTTTAATAATTTAATATTAATTAGTAATTACTAATTTAATACTAAAAAAAGTTAAAAAAACTGCTGCAGGATAAAGGACCAGAAATGTCATAAAACTTCATAAAAGCAAAGAAACACCTTGTGCTGTAGCATTAAAAAGCAAAAAAAAAAAGCTTGTGCTGTAGATAATTGGATGCTTCTGGCAGTGGGGGAAATACCATTTTTGTGGCTCAGGGGGGTGGAAATACCATTGGTGTGGCTGACTCCTAGTGAAAGCAGCACCTCAAGATTCGTTGGGTCTGCCTCTCTTGCCTGCGACATCGATGCGATGGCCTGTTCACATTCCGTTGTCACACATCACGTCAGGAACGCATCAGAGTCCCCGCCTTTGCCCTGGCATCATCTTATCCCACACGATTCAAACTCTGACGTCTTCATCTGTCGATCGACAAAATTTCATGTGTATGCCATCATTCAACCGCCACCAAATATTCCTACATAGGACGTAATTGATGCCGCTGCAAAAAAAAAGAAAAAGAAAAAAGAAAAGAAAAAGAAATGCCGGCGATGATGTGATATAATAAAACAATACTACGTAAAATACTAAGCCACCATGCAGGTCTCCGCCCCAGCTGGTGGTGTAGAGTCGCATGAGAGAGGCAGAACGAGATCTCTCTCTGGTGTATGTTTCATTCACATGCTCAGACTTTTTAGTGATATAATAATCATATAAATATTAAATACAAAAATGAGCAACCAACCAATAGTGGCGAAACGGTCTTACATACGGAACCGTTATTTTTCATACATTATAATCAGTATTCAATACTATTCATTAATTAAAGAGATCGGGAGTTCAGATCCTGACCGAGTCACATGATACAAACGAACGCAAATGAATCCAAACTTCATTCCAAAGGAATGCACAAATGTAACTGTTATTGCAGCTAATTAATTTAAATTTAAAACAGATCATGAGTTCAGATCCTGATCGGATCAGGATGACAAAAATCATTAAAAAATGATGATAAAACAACGGCAAAGGAATGCAAATGAATGCAAACGAATGCAAATGAATGCAAAGGAATGCAAACAAATGCAAACGAATGAACAAATGAAATTGCAGTTAATTGATAATTAAATTAAATTAAATTAATTACTAAACACATCAAGAGTCAAGACTTGCAAATCCTGATCGAATCGGATGAAGAAGAAGAAGGGAAAAAAAAAGAAAACAAAAAAAAGGAAAAGACCGCGAATGAATCCAAAGGAATGCAAAGAAATTCAATGAATGCAAGTGATTGCACTAATGCAACTGTCATTGAAGTTATGATTAATTTAAGTTCAAATCCCTGTAGAATCAGATGAGAACAACGAAAGCAAACAAATCAGAATGAATGCAAATGAACGCAAACGAACGCAAACAAACCCATGATAGAAACGAATGCCCCCGAATGATAAATGAATGCAAACGAAAACAAACAAACAGATAATCAATGCAAACCCAGGACAAATGCTTCTGACACATATATCCACCACCGGGTTTGTCTCTGTGCTCGACATACAACTAACTTTAAGGTATAATAATAAAGCTACCAACTTCACCTGAATAGAACGCCCGGTTATTATAGCCGTATTTGGCACAACTTGCGGCCCAGATATTCAGGTGAAGACGGTAGGCTACCAGCCGGGATGCCCGGGTCAGCTGGTTTGCCCGGGCGGCCCAGCCCTGCAACGGCCAAAGAAGGTCCCAGCAAAAAAAAAATAAAAAAATTAAAAATTCTGAAAAACAAACAAACAAACCCCTGTGTAGCATCATGTTCGGGTTCGGTGACCGAACCCGAATGTTTGAGACCGAACGCGAACGAGCGCCGAAACTCTCCGTAGGCAGAGAGAGAGAAGAGGACAACAAACGAGGGGCTGTGACAAACTGTTTTATATATATATATAATATATATATCGTCATATATTGTCACAGAACTATTGACTAAGAGCATGAGCACGTGAAGTAGAAGAAGAAATAAGACGAGCAAAGAAAAGAAAAATGAAAGGACAAACAGGCAAAGAGACAGACAAACCAGAATGACACTTTGTTTCACAGTATTATTATTTCTTTCAGTGTTTTACAAAAACTATTTACACTGAATCAAAGGATAAAAATAAAAAACAAAGACACATTGAAATCATTCAGTTTCTCAGTCTTCTTA